CAAATCGCTGGACATACATAAACTGTTACAGATCTAGAAATGCCAGTTAAAGTGCGCCGTGGATCCTTTCTCCACGAATTAACAATTGCATAAGATCTTTCGAAGTGAGTTTCGACAGTGAATTAAAAGGTAAAAGCTGGATAAAGAAGGGGACGGCAAACAATCGAAGAATCTATATCTTTGAAAATTTACAGCTTAAATCGGTGTGGACACTGTCACCAAATTAGGTGTTTAGGCGCGCTAATCCTCCCCAGAGATTGTTTGACAGTAAAAATCTGTTGTTTTTAAGTCCCCTTCTTCTTTAATCTTTCATATATGCGCATAAAAAATAAACAGATTAGCAACTGAAAACTTTCAAAGATCCCTAACTAATCAGAAATCAAGATTTACGGCTTTTCTTGCTCTTGGGTTTTCGGTACAAGTCGCGTAGCTCTTTTCGTACATCATCATTCATTTCTTCGATGAGTTTTGCTCGTTCAATCTTCAAACGTTCCAGTTTCTCGTAAACATCTCGAGCTTCTGGCGAAAGACTGTTCACCTGTAAATACATAATACTAATACCATCATGTTGTAAGAAAGTGCTGTTCTAGACACGAATTTCACAAATGACCAGGTGGTGAAAGTATAAATAGGAGGCGGAAAAATCTATTAGCGTAGTAAGCTGTTCTGGAAAACAAGAAATTTGGGAGAAGAGATAATTTCTGTTTTTTATACGTTTTGCCACAATAGCGGTGCGAAAGCATTTCTCAAGGTTCTGTGCTCGGATTTTTGTCCAAGAGTTTTCAACTTAGCAAAAGAAAAGATGGGAAGATGAAATTTTATGGGGATGATTCCTGTCCACGCGCGAATCCGTAAATTTAAACTCAGCCTTCACTAAATTTAAACTCAGCCTTCGCCTGGCTATCATGTGCGAACAAGCAAACGTTTTGGCGAGAGATTTTCAAATTTGCGGACTAGGCAACGTTTGCCAATTTTTGCACAAAGTGTAAAACACTAATTAACAACTAGCGTCCGCTGACGAGTCTACTTATTGTGGCAGTAAAACTGACGCAGGTTTTTACGTCTCACTCTTCTTTCCCACACCTCCACGATAATCAGTGGTACCTTTCTCGGTGTAATTTGTTGTCTGTTGTCAGCTTCGCCTCACCAGCTGAACAGTTTTCTCAACAAATACATATTTGATGTCCCTAACTCCGCAAAGCAATTTATTTCCTAATTATCCTCCCTATTTCTCATCTTTTTACAATATCCCCAACTATAGAGACTTTCTTGCTATGACGAGAGCACGGTCATTTAAAATGTCAAGGAAGTAACATTTCGCAGTAACCACGGCCACAAAAGTGCTGAAACTAAATAGATCTATACCCAGGCTGGAATGCACCGGGCCGGCCCGTGCGATCATGCGTTTTTGCACCGGATTTGAATTACTCAGGTCATTAACTATATGAATGGCTGTTGCTTTACCCCTACCTTTTGCGGTCACTAGCAGAAATCACCATAAATTTTGCAAAGTAAATGTACAATTTTCATTTAACAGCTGTTTTTATTTAAAAGTAACCTAGATGGTCAGTGAGAAATTTTTTCGTCAAAACTTTAGGTTCCCGTACGTAAAAACCGCGCATACCTCAAGGCTGAATTTGAAATACTTAAGTTGTACTTGGACGGGAAATATTCTGTCAAAATTTCAGATTTCCAGCTTTTTGGTTACCGAGTTAGCAATTTTCCCGCCAAACCCATCACATACCCGTACTTGGGTACTCCACGTGCTTGGAAAGCTGAATTTGACATTTTTAAATTGCGCGTGAGCAGGGAACATCCGCCTAAAGTTTCAACCTTCCAGCTCTTCTGGTTGCCGAGTTAGTAATTTTCCTGCGGGAACTTTCATACGTCCTTACGTGAGTACCATGCATAGCTTGGGGCCGAATTTGAAATATTTGAGTTGCAATTGGATAGGAAACATTCCCTCAAAATTTCAGCTTTCTAGCGTTCCTGGTACCCGAGTTAGCAATTTCCCCCCTAAAACTTTCATACGCCCTTACACGAGTACCACGTGCACCTGGGGGCTGAGTTTGAAGTCTTTAGCAAGTACATGCATAGGGAATATCCTTACAAGATTTCAACCCCTTAGCTCGAGTGGTTCCCGAGATCGCTTTCCCGCCAAAAAATTTGCATTTTTAAAACGTCCGTACGCGGCACCCAGGCTCCGAGGAGGATGAAATTTAAAAGGAGGGTCGCGCACGGTATAGTCACATATCCTCAAAGTTTCACCCTTCTAAATTTTCTGGTTCTCGAGTTGAAAGTGGGTGACAAAAAGTGCGAACACACAGACACACACACACACACACAGATACACACACGCACACACATAGGCACACGCAAAAACACAAATATACAGACAGTATGCGTTTTTATGCATTTTTTGCAGCTATGCAATGCGAAAAACGTATATTGACGAGAGGCTGTCTGTGTGTGTGTGTCTGTGTGTGCGCTGCGCGTCTGTACCGATTTTTCATCTCGAG